TTCTGTGAATAGATGACATTCTACTCACTAGCAGTGATGTTAATCTGTCATTGGAGAAGAAGAAGTTTTGTCCTCAAGTTTCAATATGAATGATCTTGGTGAAGCGTCATTGGTTCTAGGAATCGAAATTCACTGAGATAGATAAAAAATAGGGTATTAGGGCTATCGCAAAGGCATACTTAGAAAAGATTCTAAAGAAAATAAAATATGCATGCAAGTAAACCTATGCCTGCTCCTATAGTCAAGGGTAATAGATTTGGGAACTTTAAGTGTTCCAGGAACCGATATGAGATCGATCAAAAGAATATGGTTCCATACGCTTCAGCTGTTGAAAGCTTGATGTGTGTACAAGTACAAGTAAGAACTTACCATGACGTAGTTTATGTATCCGAGATATTTTGGCAGAAGTCCAGTTCAGATATAGATCACTGAAATTGAGTTGAGAATGTCTTGCAATTTTGCAAAGTATAATAGGCCTCATGCTGAGTAAGAAAGAATAAGTACTCTCAAATAGTTGAGGGTACAAAAAGTTAAGTTTTGGCGAGATGTGTAGGGAAATTCACAGTAGTTGCTAACACTCGCAGTTGGAGTATTATTGTGGAAAAGCTCCAAAGAAAGCAGTTGTGGTGTCATCAGTGATGCATACCATAGTATAGCTTGTCATGAGGCTTAAGGAACAAGCAAAAGCAGGTTAAGGGAATTTATACCCGGATTTAATAATGGTAGACAACATCAATAACCATTTAAAGTAAGTTAACTCATAAGACAACAATTCAAGAGTGCTGCTAAACACATTGACACTAAGGTATATGTTGTAAAGGAGAAAATACAGAATTATTTTAAAAGCATTGAGCACATAAGTACTGAGTAAGTACTTGCGGATCCGCTTACCAAAGGCTAACCACTCAGTACGTTCAGAGAGCACACAGTCGATATGGATTTATGAGAAAGCCTATGATTTCTGAATACTAAGGGCCTAGTTGAGTATTTATTTTAAAAACAGAGAGGTGTATTGTAGCTGTTAAATCTAATGGCAACTGACCGTGACGATGAGACACGCTCTATGCACTAATCTATGATGGAAAGGGAACAAGATAAAGTAAGTACGTTAAGTTTAAGTCATAAGGTGAGATCAAGGGAGAGAATGTTAGTTTAATCTCCAACGATTGGCCAACGGCCAATTGGACCCCTTGACCGCGTTCTAATCTGGGACGCTTAACTGCCCACTGGTCGACGGATCCCTGTCACACAGCGCTATAAGTAAAGAAAAAGGTGTGGGCTAGGGCACGCGAGACAAGGTTCACCGTCGCCACTGACCCACCAAAGAAACCCTAGAAGACCCCATCCGATCGCGGGTGTGCTGCAATGACGGGAAGCACCGCCAGACGCGTCGTCGTCCTCAGGACTCCACCACGCCTACGCTGCTACGACACCGGCGGCCACATCGCTGCGACATCATGACCGCAACTGCCCTAGGATGAGATACATCACTAAGTTTCCCCATCTACGTCAAATTTATCTCGTGATCTTCGATTTTAGAGGTACTGATCTATCACATCGCGCTAGCTGGCTGCAAAACGGAGGCGCAGTCAACTCCAAGTCACGGGATACATACATCTGCAGCATCAGCATGGGTGCGATCGAGACTGATTGTGTCTGTCTGATATGCCGTGTGCGTGCAAGGACGGACGTCCGCCCGCCCGTCGACCCCACCGCTGCTTTAGCCGCCGAAGCTGACGCTCGGCTCCGAATCTATCCTTCTCCTTCCCATTCCCATCCGTCCCCTGCCGCGGGCTCATCTTGTTCCTGCAGACATCACAGCCAGCAGATGAGACGACATGGGCGGGCCACGCGACGAGCTAGATGCCCGGTCCCCGGTGCGTGAACGAAAACGAACAACCTCAAGGCATTTCAGTAGGGCAGGGGCGTCAAGCAAAGCAACCACGCCCACGCACCATCAGATCGCAATCAGTGGACAGCTATTCAATTGGGCGTGGATTAATGAAGATAAAGATCGCGTCGTCTGTCGGTTAATATACGCCATGTTCGTTTGGCTTATAAGTCGTACTTTTTCAGCCAACAAAAAATATTTTTCTCTGACAACAAATCATTCAACAGTACTTCCAGCCATGGCTTATCAGCCAAGCTGCCATGATTAGTTCATGGTACTGTGGCTGATGGTCTGATGATCAAGTGGCCACCGCACCAACCAGTAGAATACAAAGCAAGAGCCAAGAGGCCTCTAGCCTCGTCCTCAAGACAAGCAACAGCGTTTGGGAGGGAGCTGCGCGCCGCTTGGCAAGTCAGGAGGAGGAACAAGGACATATATGCTGCTGCAAATAACAAAACATTTCCTTGCTTGTTGTCTTGCTACCTCCTTGCTTAGCGAGAGTGCAGTGCAGCGCGATTCATGGTTGACATGGCGATTGGTCGCTCAGACACGCAAGTTCTACATTCTAGGCCTTGTTTACGTCACCTCCAAATTTCAAGTTTTTTCACTCTCTCTCTATCACATTAATTTTTAAACGTATGCATAGAGCATTAAATATAGGTAAAAAAAACTAATTACATAGTTTGGTTGTAAATCACGAGATAGATCTTTTGAGCCTAATTAGTCCATGATCGAACAAAGTTTGTCAAATACAAACGTAACGTGCTACAGTATTCAGGTTAAAAAAATTTACAATCTAAACGAGACCCTTAAAAAAATTGACGTTTTTGAAACAGGCCCTTAGAAGAAAATACTAGTAGTACTGTAGTACTAGGCATATATACTGCCTGTCACTACCATTAGTTATTAACGCTACAACAGATAAGAGCATGATCGATCCTACCATCGCAAACGACGCTTGTGATGCAAGTTTTGGGCGTTAGCTAGCTACCTAGCCAGCCAGCAGCTCGTGCACTGCAAAAACCTGCTGGCTGGGACCGGGACCGGGACTGCATCCAGCTTTTCCCTGCATCCCTGCACTCCTGCAGATTGCTCTCGTCATCGAACTGTCAACTAGTAGGACCAAAAGTTCCCGCGTTCAAGTAGGAGCAGTAGCCTTGGAAGAAACACACACCTGCTCATGCTGACCTGCTGGAGTATCGTATCGTATCCAGGATGCGGTCGGAGGTCGGAACTGACAAGTGCTTCATGGCCTTGGATTGGATCATCCAGAGATGATCAGCAGCAGCCAGCCAGCAGGCGACGGACATGTGACTGGCCATTCCTCGTGCATGCTTCTCGCCAGATCTCGTTCTGTACTGCACACTCACAACCTGTCAGATGCTTTCTTTTTTCTTCTTCTTTTCTGCTGGAGACTGGAGATCAGGAGATGCAGATGCTGCTCATTGTTTTCCCCTTGTCCGATAGTACGATCCAGGTCCAGAAGCTGACCATTTGGCATGCATGTCCAAGTAGGAACGTGAAAAGAGCATGAGCAGTGTGTGAAAGGGCAGAAAGCCAATCTCTTTCCCAATGATAAAAGCAGAGATCTTCTTTCCTCCTTCCCAATCCTGACCCTCAATCAAAAAAAAAAAAAGAGAGAAACAAAGAGAGAAAGAATATCCCTGCCTTTGGCCGGTCAGAAAAGGCTAGGGATGAACTAGGCCATGTTTAGATTGCAAAAATTTTCAACCTGATGAATAGTAGCAATTTTGTCTTATTTGGTAAATATTGTCCAATCGTGGACCAACTAAGCTTAAAAGATTCATCTCGTGATTTTCAACTAAACTGTGCAATTAGTTATTTTTTTTATCTACATTTATTGCTCCATGCAAACGGCTAAAATTTGATGTGATGGAGAGAGAGTGAAAAAACTTGGAATTTAGAGGTGATCTAAACAAGGCCCTAGTGCCTTCTGCCGAATAACTTGTCGAAGGGTTATCTGCTACATTCCATTTCCACAGATTTCTTTCCCCTTTCTGCCTTGACAGGTCGCGGAGGCAAAGGATCTCACGAGGATCGTTGCCGGCCGAGAAGATGTTCTTCCCTTCTGTATGTACTAAAAAATACTCGATCCCGTCCAAGTTCTTGCCTTCCTGCTGCCTGCTTGCCCCCATCCAAGATAGGAGTAGGCCAGGAGCAAAACACACGAGCGAGCAGCCGCAGTGCATGATCGTGCGAGCGCACGTCCCTGTCCGGAGTCCAAATCAGCCCTATCGCCGGCCGGACTCGCCCGCAGGCCGCGCACCCACAGGAAGCTGACCGCAGCAAAGCGCGCCGAAAACCAGTCCAATCAGTCATACGGCTGGCCTGAATTGAAAACAGGGCAGCGCCTCCGATCCGTTCAGGGCTTGGAGCTGTAGTACTCGATTAGGAGTACTCGTCGTCATGAAAAACCAGTCCACGCCACTGCCAGATACGCCGACGCCGACGGCCCCAGGAGACGCCGGGACAGGAGCAGGAGGAGGACGAGTACATGAGCAGCCCACGGCTCCGCCCGGCCGGCTCGCCGCGCCCCTGCCAAGGTTCGTCTGGTCTCCGTTGCTCCGTCCGTCCGTCCATACGATCCGGTTTCCGTTCGTTCACTTCACCCATGCACGGACGCGCCGAAAGCAATCAATCAGTAGCAGTAGTAAGCGAAACTGGCAATGATCAGTGAATCCCCTGCTATTACTGGTAGTTATTGCTAGCTGCCATGCCAAAGCTTGGACCTTTTCGCAAGCGGGCGCATCCAGGTCCAGCCAAGCCAAGCCATGCAGACGCATGCGGATGCGGCCCATCCGTCCATGGCAGAAGCAGAACGGCAGTAGGCAGTAGCCGCCCACCATTAAAAGAAGCAGCAGCAGCCACAGAGAGAGAAATCGCATGACACGGGCAGAGCAGGGCTACCTATACCCACCACGCGCTTCCTCCCTCGGCCCTCGCCCTCACACAGTCACACCTCCTTGCTCTCGCCGGGCCCGTGCCCGTCACACCAAAACCCCGGCCTCGCACGCACCTACCCTCAGTCACCTCACCCCGGCTTCTTCTCTGTGTGTGTCGGTGTTCCAGCAGGGGCAACAGAAGGGGGATGGCGAAGCGGCCGGCCGTGCTGTGGGCGGCCGCGCTGGCGGTGCTGCTGCTGTTGGCGGCGGCGTGCACGGCGGCCGCCGCCGTGACCATCTCGCGGAAGCGGCACCATCGCGGCGGGGCGTCGGCGTCGTCGGCGGCGCGGTCCTGCGACCCGTTCGCGGCGGCGGGCGCGTGGGTGGTGGACGAGTCGTACCCGCTCTACGACTCGGCGCGCTGCCCCTTCATCCGCGACGAGTTCGCGTGCGCGCGCTTCGGCCGCCCCGACACCATGTACCTCAAGTACCGGTGGCAGCTGGACCCGCCCTGCGCCCAGCCCAGGTAATTAAATTCTGCCGGCCGCGTCTAGCTAAAGCCCGTTCGGCAGACCGTAAATGATCATGGATTATTTATTGCTGATTTGGTACGAGAGAAAAATACTATTTCAGCTTATAATCCACGTTCCTATACGAGCAACCGCATCGGTCGTGAACGTGAAAAGATTTGGATTTTTTTTTCGACTGTGTGATCGCGACGTCGCTCGTGACGATGAAGGTTCGACGGCGCGGCGCTGCTCAGGATGTGGGGCGGCAAGACGGTGATGTTCGTGGGCGACTCGCTGGCGCTGAACCAGTACGAGTCGCTGCTGTGCATGCTGCACGCCGCGGCACCCGTCTCGCGGACCACCCTGTCGCCGGCGTCCGGGAAGATCGACCCCTCCTCCACCGTCCGCTTCGAGGTACGTCTTTGCATGCATGCATCGTTCGTTCGTGCCGACTGGATTCCATCTGTCGCCCGATCGACTCGGTGCGTAGTTTGTTCGGTCCTGGCCCTGGTCCGGTAAAAAGCTGGGTCGGCGGTTGCCGGTAGCGTTGGGCATCATGACATGAGCGGACGTGAACTGGGCGCAACCGGTGGGTTAAACCAACCGCGCCCGGTGCTGCCCCTGTCGGTCGACGGGGCCCCGGCGGCCGCGTCGGCAAGTCTGGGCAGATCCCGGAGCGTGCGTGCTCGTCGAGGCCACGGGAGCGGGACCCGGCTCGGCGCACCATCAATTCCCTTCGTGCGCGGGCGGGCGGGGCCGGGGCCGGGTTCGCTGGCACGGGCGGCGGGCGATCACGCCTGGTCCGGACGGGAACCCTCGGTGGGGGTGGCCGCGCCGCAGCTAAAGCACAAGTCCACCGGAAGGAAAGCAAGGGGTCCCCGTGACGCGAGGTCGTCGCCACACGACTGGGACTACTGGCAGTGCCAGCCGCAGCTGCCCGCGGCTGCTGAAACCCTGCACGTCTTGAGGATTGGTCGCGGTGTCCGTATCTGAATTGTTTTGTTTGTTAATTGTTCGTGTGATTTTTCTACTTTTGGTCTCGTTTAGTACGGAAGATGGATCAGGCAGAGCAGAGCGGTCGGGCAGAGCAAATGGCCAAACTGAGCTCAGCTGGGCTGCAATGGCGGGATCTACCACCCACCTTTGGGATCCAGCGCGCGTGACATGCTGGAGGTTGGGGTCTTGGGGACGACGATACTACAGTACTATATCGCCTTGCCCGTGTCAGATGGTCTCGTTTCGATGTGTGCCCGTGTCAGATGGTCTCGTTTCCTAATTTCCTGCCAGCTTGATTTTGTTTTGTACGCTGCCTTTTCGTTTTCATCTCTCGTACGCACGCGCGGCGCATCTCCCCTGCCTGCCGCCGTGCCGCGCGGCGCCATTGAGCGCCGACCGCCGACACGCCGCACGCAAGGGCACGGGCACGGGCACGTTCCAGGCTTGCTTGGAGCGGTTGGTTAGGGGATGTGCCGTGCTGTGCTCCATTTCCGTTTCCATGGCATGATGACATGACTGCTCGGTGACGGTGAGTGACATTGACGGCCCTCGTTTGTTTGCTGGATGACGGTGCGAACAGGACTACAACGTGACCGTCGTGTACTACCTGACGCACTACCTGGTGGACCTCGTGACGGAGGCGTCCGGCCGGCGCGTCCTCAAGCTGGACACCATCGACCAGGCGCGCGACTGGCTCGCCGCCGACGTGCTCGTCTTCGACTCCTGGCACTGGTGGCCGTACACCGGACCCAAGCAGCCGTGAGCTACTAGTGTTCCTTCCTTCCTGGCTTCTCTGCCTCGTATATATAGGTAAAGGTGTCTGAATTGATCTCATTCTCATGCTGTGCAGCTGGGACTACATCCAGGTGGGCAACACGGTGGTGAAGGACATGGACCGCACGCAGGCCTTCACCAAGGCGCTGCACACCTGGGCCAGGTGGGTCGACGCCAACCTTGTCCACACCGACACCAAGGTCTTCTTCCAGGGGATCTCGCCCTCTCACTACAGGTAAACACTACGCCAGCCAGCCTTTCTCCCATTCACTCTGCTCAGTCAGAAGAACGGCCACGGCGGCCCCATGTCCGTCCTTGCTCCTCCTGGCCGCTGCAACAGCACAACTGAACCACCGCAGAAAGCCACCAACTCGCCGTCCTGAGACACTTCACATGCTCGCATCGCGCCCGTCTCCGTCCAGTTGTATTTATGAACCACGCATGCATTGCATCAATGGCAAGTTGGCAACAGCACACACGCACGGCGGTTGCGATTTCCAAGCACGTGACGCCGCCGCCGCGACGTTGCCTGCAAGCTGCAAGCTTGCAACTGCTGGCGCCATGAGCTCTGCACCTCACTCCAGCCCGTGTGACCGTGTCGCGTGCGTGCAGGGGCCAGGACTGGGGCGCGTCGCCGAAGAAGACGTGCATGGGGGAGACGCAGCCGCTCAATGGCACGGGGCCGTACCCGGGCGGGCCGATCCCACAGCAGGCGATCCTGCGCGGCGTGCTAGCCGGGATGGCCAAGCCCGTCTACCTGCTCGACTTCACCTACCTGTCGCAGCTGCGCAAGGACGCGCACCCCACCAAGTACGACGGCGGCATCTTCGGCGGCGACTGCACGCACTGGTGCGTCGCCGGGCTCCCGGACACCTGGAACGTCCTCTTCTACGCCGCGCTCACCGGGCAGGACTGATTGATGAGTCATTAGTACATTTTTTTTACAGACCGACAGTGTTACTACTGGTATAAGCTAAAGCTAGCTAGGGTGTAGCTCAAATGCTCAATAAGTAAAGGAAAAGATAGCAGATTGATTTGTTATAGTTACAGCGGGGGTCAAAAGATTTTCAGCCCAAACGAGTTGACAGAAGAATGTCAAAACAAAAGATTGTAATTACTTCCTGAATTCAATTGGCAAAATTTCTGGGGGTGGTTTATACAAACGAGGAAAACTCATTTCTTGAGCAATCTACTTGTGATTTGTGACTCTGCAAATTTACCGAGGTTATTGATTTCTTTTTTTTTTTCATTTTCGTTCAAATGGAGTTTCTTTTAGATTTTTTTTAGCAACATGGAGTTTCTTTTAGATGCTTTGTGTACTGGGCCTATCAAATTTCGACTAGGATATAGCATACAGGCACAATAGCTATTTTGGTAATTCAACTATTACTCGAGGCTCAATTTCATCCTTAAACTTTCAAAACGTCCGTTTAGGTTCTCAAACTTTAGTTTTAGGCTCAATTTTATTCATAAACTATCAAAGTGCATTTAACTTTTATTTTCAACTCAATTTTGTCTATTAAAAAAGAAAACTTTATATTTTAGGCACAATTTCATCCATAAATTATCAAAACTATAGATCTTCTATTGTTTCAATATATCCATGTATTCTTAAAGAATAAGTAATGTTCGATGCAACTGTAATTGCTCCCATAAATATCACTTAGTCGGATATATATAAATGGTACCATTATAATGTAACACTAAAAATAACAGCATGAAATTATTAATGGCCACGAAAGAGTTTTTGGATGAATATTTTTTTTCTACCTCCAATCGCGGGTGGTTTTGGAGCTAACCAGGAGCAACAGTGCAACGTTCCACATAGAACGTAGACAAAGTTGAGTTGAAAATAAAAGTTTAAAGAACAAAATACACTTTGATGGTTTATAAATGAAATTAAGCATAAAATGCAAAGTTTGAGGATTAAAACGATCATCTTCTTAGTTCTAGAATGAAATTGAGCCTAAAAGTAGAGTTTGAGAATTAAAACGGCCGTTTTAAAAGTTCAGGGTCGATGCTGAGCCTTGAATAATAGTTGAGGGACAAAAATAGCTATTCTGCCTAGCGTATATACTGGGCCGCCCATTCAAGTGAAGCTAGGCTGCTAGCACGCTCTCTACCTGTGGCAAACTGCCTTTTTTTAATTGCGCCCACGGCGTTCTGCGAAATGAGCCAAAAGTGAACGGACATACTCCCCTATTTTATATTAAGTCATTCTAACTTTTTTTTCTTCTAAAAAACTAAAAAAAAGTTAGAGAGACAAAGCATCTAAAGTTTGATCAAAATTATAGAGAACTATAGAGATTTATATCATCAAATAGGTATACTATCAAACTATAATTAATGAAGGATCTAATGATACTAAGTTAGTATCATAAATATTATTATTTGATTATACAAATTTGATCAAACGAGATGTTTCGCATCTCAAAAAAGTTTGAAATAACTTATAATTTGGGATGTAGGGAGTACCATTCTTACTAAAATGGTATAACTTAAGTTAAAGTATTTTCAGAGATATGTTCGCTTAAACTTATCAGCCTGATTTATCAGCCATGTTATAGTATATTTTTCTCATAATAAATCAGCAAACAATGTTTTTCAGCCTGGCTTATCAGCCAAGCAACCCTATACCGTAAAACCTGGTTAAGCTCGTCAAAGAATTGAAGACCACCCACATCGAGTGTGTTTGGTACGTCTCACACTAGTTTCAGCTTCTTGTGACAAGTGTCACTCTGTAGCATGAAGCTATTCCGAATGCCGAGGAACCGCCAAATGAACTATAAGGCATGGCTGAAAGTACGGCTGGCTGGTTTGGTGTGAGAGAAAAACACTGTTTAAATCGTGGATTATAAGCCAGATAAGAGCGAATAAACCGAAACGAAGAGGCTGTATAAGCTAGCTTAGCAGGGTGGAGTAGCTCAATAAGTAAAGGTAAAGATAGCAGATTGACTTGTTATAGTTACAGCGGGGGTCAAAAGTTTTTCAACCCAAATGAATTTATAGATGAATGTATTGTAATTCATTCCTGAATTCAATTGGCAATTTTTCTGGGGGTGGTAAAGTGGTGCGATATATGGCCTCGTGATTGATACGGACGAGGAAAAGTCATTTCTTGAGCAGTCTACTTGTGACTCTAGGAAATTTATCAAGGTTATTTTGAATGATTTCTTTTTCATTTTCGCTCAAACGGACGTTTCTTGAGATGCTTTATTCGAGTACTACTTGCCAAAATTTCTGTTAGAAGGTAGAGAGAGATCGAGTGATGCAAATGCTTCTCAGTTGTATTTTCAATGAATAGTGTATACATATATATATATATATATATATATATATATATATATATATATAAAAGACCCATGTGAACGTTTACAAGTGTGAAAAAAAGAGGAGTGAAAAGACACCCCTTGAATTAATCCCTAATTGATCACTAAATAATATTTCTCAACAATTTCGATTAGGATTTGTAGGGTTCATAAATCCGGGGTCCCTCATAGACCGGCTTTCCAGCGAAGGCTCGGCCCAACAGATAACGTTGTGAGCCAACACGCAACTCTTGGGTCGGCCCAAGTACATAAACGACAGGCCAGAAGGATAATCCAATCTCCGACCGGAAGGTCTGTCCGAGGAGGAACGGCGCCCCTTTCCGACTCCGGCCCGCCTCTCCGACCGGAGCGCTCGCTTTGGTCTCCAGCCCGCCTCCGGACCGCCCCTCTGACCGGAAGGCCAGGCCAAAACACCACTTCCGACTCCGACCCGCTTCTCCGACCGGAAAAACGACGAACCCCTGCTTACAGCTCCTCTCTGACTGGCGCGATCAGAGCCGACTATGACCAACCGACAGGGGACGCCCGCTCGGTAAGGGCCAGGAAACGGACGGAGAAAGTAAGGCAGCGCATACAAGTCAAACTGCAATACCAGGAACTGTACCCTGTGCAGCTGCCATACAGTACCCTGCGACCTCCCTGGCACGACAGAACTGAAGTAGTGTTGTAGGCGCCGACATTTTTCCCTACAGTGTTATGGGCGCCATCAACTCCCATACCAGACAAATACAGTCAGGCTCCCCCCACGTGCCTCTGCGGCATCGACAGTGTTGTGGGCGCCGGTATTTACAGTACCGGGCGAACATGGTAAAACCCCTTGCATGCCTCTTGGTATCAACAGTGTGGCAAGCACCGACGTCTGCCATACCTGAAGAAGACGATGTAACCTCCCACGTGCATCTGACACTAAACAATATTGTGGGCGTCTACCATCATCTTGTACCCGCCGGCGTAGGCAACAAGACTTAGTAGTATACGTACTCTCTCCCTCTCTCTTGTAAGGTCATCCCCTTCATCTATAAAAGGGGATGCGCTCTCTCCCAAAAGACTCAGCTGATTCAGATCGATCAAGTTTACTAGTACACATCAACAGAACCATCAGGTTTAAACTACGAGCACACGCCCGAACACATAGCACATAGTGGAGTTTCCGTCACTCTCGACCCCTAAGACTAGAGTCCGACCGGATTTCTTGTACCCCCTATCTTTCTCCTTCTTGTTTGTAACCCTACTGCAAACTTCGAGCACCTGGGCTTAAGAATAAAGTCACCGACCGACTCAAACTGGACGTAGGGCACGTTGCTTGAACCAGTATAAACCCTGTGTCATTGAGTGCTAGGCCACATCCGATCACAATGTATGGCAAAACTACAAATATTTACGTGTTGGTCACTTTCTGCACCGACAGTTGGCGTCGTCCGTGGGGAAGACACTGTACGTTCAACACTTTTTGGTCATCGGATAGCCCACTTTTCCGCCACCTTCGCCATGGCGGGCTCAAGCGATACGACTCGCTTCGGCTCACTGGAGTTTCCCATACTCCCACCTATTGGGATGCGGGTCCCACCCGTCTTCGAGCCGTCCTATGCCTTCCTCTTCGAAAGCCTAGACTTTGTCGCCGACCGGCTCGGCATACTACACCTCCGCAAGGAGGCCACCATCCCGGTGCCCGTCGAAGGGGCACCCCTCGCCGGCTTGGGGACACCCAACGACTTCAACGACGAGACACCTGCGCTTCATTTCGAGTAAACTCTGCTCAAACCCCGCTGTGAGTAATATACATGCTGTTATTTACTCGCTATTCACTATCTTCCGCCGATTATCCAAAGGGACCCCGTTGTCTCTGACGCGACCGGTTCCCCTACGGCCTCGCGTCCCCCGCGGATGCGTACGCCCGGGCGCTCCGAAGGAAGCCGACGCCGCCCCCTCTCACGTCCGAATTCGTGGGGATTGAAGCTATGCTCCCACCTGTTTCCTCGACCTCATGGATGACGATGTTGAGAGTGACGGCTCCAGCATCGGCGATGTGGCACCTAGCCACCGTTCGTCCTAGGAGTGTGCTATGGCAGACGCTTTAGGACATCCACTAGTGGTAGCAAAGTCCTTGTAGACTAACACCCCTCTGGACCCTCGTGCGGGGACCCTCGCTCTCACAAGAGAGCATGGCGAGGAGCTACGACAACAGTGACAGAACCAGCCGCCACCTGCGCCGGCGCGCTCGATGCACCACGCTACGCCCCGTGCGTATAAACCAGCGAGCGGCGCTCGGGGTCACGCCCGCCAGGTCCAGCGCAACATCATGGACGGGGGGAACGATCCGCCATAGTTCGCTCGGGCTGACCAGATCGTCGCCGCTGTAGTGAAGCTTCTGCGCGGCCTTCCCAAGCCGAACAAACCCTAGGAACAGGCGATCCATCGAAACCTCCAGGCACTGGTGGAAACCGCTGCCGTTCAATAGACGGAGAGCTCTGCATCATGACACCGACTCGTGGCCTCTCCCCCCACCAGGGGAGTGGGGACGCACCAGACGAATCGCTCCACCAGCTCGCCGCTACAGCCGTCGAGCGCAGCACAGGAGGCCGCATCT